ATTTATATAAAACAAATCCCTACGAAATTCAATCCGGAAGATCTGCATCACGAAATTCCGATCTGTTACTTCCAAAGATCCACATTATGTTCCTAGAACAACATCCATATGTTTCATTACGATCCAACAGTCGGATCTCCGCCAATTGTCAAAATCAAGTGGCTGTCAACATTTTATTTTATGAACTTACAAATCCAACTCGATAAGATCCTACATCAAATTCCCGATCCGTAAGTTTCTATGATTCTCAAATATTATGTATTATAATGTATTAAAGTTTGGTGACGATCCAACGGTCGGATTATCGATTCACATCTTTACCAAGTAACGTATCTTAATGAATTTAAGTCCAAACGATCAACCTACGTTATAAAATTACCAAAACTGAACTTAAACATCTAATTTAGCCTAATAATAACTTTGACGGTCCCCTGGCCACGCGCCGTCGCAGATGGTGGTCGGCCGTCTCGACTCGTCGTCGGAAAATCTAACTATTTCTAAAAATTACCAAAATTTATAGGAATTAAGATCTCAATGAGTAGAGTAAACTTTATACCTGCGGCCAAGGCCAATTTGGCCGGAAAACACCTTAAACTGGCCACGAACCGCTAGAAACCCTAGAAATGGGTACTCGTTGATTCGTCCTCAAATCGATTCCGACGCTCCAACCAATAAGTGGGCATTGTTCCTGAGCTTAGGGGAGGTAATTTGATGGTGAGGATTGGTGGAAATCATTTCACAAATGGTGGATTCCGCCACCATATACACCCATGAACCCGCCGGTGCTATCACACGAATTCGAGGTCAATTCGTGTAAATTTCTGAATGAAAATGGAAGAGAAGATGATGCTAAGTTAGTTCCAGGTAGAGGATGGCTGAAATTCACCGAAAGATCGCCTGAAAAAAGCGTCGGAAATCATGGAGAAGTCAGGTCCAGGTTGTGGGTCAATGGGAAATCCGGGTTTTCCCCTCATTCTCTCTTCTTTCCGGTCCCTCCTTTCTGCCTCTCTGATTGGCCCATCCTCTCATTCTCTCCTCTCTCGATTCGCTATATACCCTCCCCACTTCTCTCATTCGATTGGCCAGCTCTGCCCAATCTCTTCATATCCTTCCTTTTTCCAGCCACACACACCCATATATAACATATAAATCATTTTGTAATAAAAAAAACATAGTGTAAAATAATTAAAATAGTATTTCATTCCAAATTCCTTCGGGTTCGTAACTCACTAAAACTTTAACTGTAACTCCAAAATCACTTCTACATGTGCCTACGCGTCCGTAAGATCGAGCTCTATACAAATATGTCAAGAAACATGACAAAATATACGAGAATCACATACGTCCTCGAAAATCATGCTTTGCCCACAAGGCATTTTCGTAAATTCACGTATCAAAAATTATAAAAATCATAATTTTTAGGAACAGGCTGTCACGTATATATGTAAATTATAGGAGTAAAATTATTTTAGCTTTTAAATATTAAATATGAAAAAAAAAACAGACAAGGGATGAAATATACATGTAGAGATCCCAAACTTTTCCTTTTCTTCCCAACCATCACACGGTGGGGAGCCGAGAGAATTTGACTTTGTTCATAAATTTTTGGGTGATGTGGGTAGTCTAGAGGGGTGAGTAAGCATTCTAAAACAGAGATGTAATGATGGGGTTAGAGAGTATTTTTAACTTTCACAGAAAAACTAGAGGAGAGCGAGAGGTTTTGGAGAGGGAAAATTAGGAAAACGGAAAGATGGGAGCAGAGTGTGCCTGGTGTGTTCTTCACTTGGTACAAAAGGTTAGCTCAAAGTTGTTAATTTTCTATTTTCTTACCACTGCAACTTTGATTCCTAGAAAACTGCAGTTCGTGAGCCTCACTTTGGCTCTTGTTTTCCCTCAATCCACTACAAATTTTAAAAAGTCTTTTTTATATATTGAAATTAGACATGACAAGTAACAAAGCTCAATTTATTTCACCGATTTTGGTTAAGATCTTCTATGGAAAAATATGATTTGAAAATGTGAAAAGAATTTGGAAATCTGCAGATTCTTTGCAGAAAAACCTGTTTGTGAACACAACTTTGGAGCTTGATTATTTTCTCCTCTTAAATCCGTTTTGAGAAACTCTTATTAAATTAGAAACTAGGTTTGTTAAGCTTTAAAATTCAAGTAATTTCATCATTTTCCATGGAGTTTTGAGGGATGAAAATGGGGTCACAATATGAGGACTTAAACTTGGTTCATCATTCATCATGAGGTTGTGACAAAGGGGTATATTTGGGTAAACTTTTGATAGGCTGAAATTGAATATTCATTTCAGTTTTATACTAACTTTTATTATTATTTATGTGATTTTAGGCCTGGGAGTGACTCCGGACACTTCGGAGGCTTAGAAAGGTATTCTAGTTAGCTGGACACGAGAGGACTCTATTTCCTGATGATAGGTCTATATCATGTTTAATCTTTGTGATATTAGTAATTATACCTAATACAGTAGTAATGAAATGCTTTTATGAAATTGAATCATTTGATTGTTATGGTTGTGTTATGGGTTGATAGTTTCCTCTTCGTTGTATTTTATATATCGACTATGTTAAATGTTATTATGTTTTGATGAATAGTTAAGCTATGCAAAATTGCTGGATTGAATATGTTGAGGTTTACAATTGTATCTGTGAAATTGAAATGCTCAGGTTGCATTACATGATACAGAGTCAAGTGTTGGGTTGTGTAAAGTTTTGGTTAAACGAAGTGTTGGAAACTTATATATGTTCACGCGTCGGGGGAAGGGCCTATATTAATGAAACTAAAACTACTAATAAAATTTGGGGTTAATTGAGGAATGGGAGTTAACTTATATTCTATGGTGTTCGAAACCAAGTGGTATAAGCATGGTATGGGATGTGCAGGTTTGGATGCCATAAATATAGGTTAGCAGGACTAGAAGGGAGTGAGTTCATGGGTACTTCTTTGTCATATCATTTGTATTTTACCGTATTGTTTGATGCATGACACTTTGATTAACTGTGATAAATGAACTTGAAGGGTATATGGTTCCTACTAGGCATGAAATGCTCACACCCTATTAGCTGTTGTAGGTACCGGTATTGAGGAACAGGTTGATGACTCGTCTCTAACTGAATAGCCATATCATATGTTGTTGGTTCCTAGTTGTACTTAGAATAAAGTGTCTTAGTATCGTAAGAGTGTGTTGTAAGAGTTGAACTCTTTAAACTCAAGATGTATTAAATAAACAGATCTAAATGAAATTTTAGATGGCTTTGGTTTCATCATACTTTTATTGTAATATTACAATTTTTTTTTAACTAGGATACTATTCATGCCCTCTTTTGGTTATCATCCTTATTTTCGGATTGGGGTGTGACAAGTTGATTGCTTCGAATAAAACTTTTCTATCTTATCGAAAAAAAGAAAAGAAAAATCCTACAATTGTTCTTGTCTTGAAAACTTGATCATTTGTCCATAGAATGTGGAGAGGTCGTCAGGTCATACACAATAAAATTAGAAAAGAAAATTTTAGGAAGACTACATTTTTGTTCCACATATTATATCATAATTGGATAAGTGGTGTACACGAATCACCTCAACTAACGAATTTATATAATTAGATGTTGGTTAAATGCATCATTAGCCACATAAAAATGGCACTAATATGATTTAAAAATGCACTCCCTAATATTACTCATCATACAATAATCAAATTTGCCCGCAGTGATCATAGAACATACCAAATTACCAACAAACAAAACAACAACAAAAATCTAAAATCTCGATCACTATTTCTCAGTAGTTGGGATAACATACAATATAAGACAAAATGACCAGATGCATAATGTACATAAATATATTTTTATCTTTTAATTTTCTTTAATTCATTCGACATGATACTTAAAAATAAATAAAAAATAAAAAAATTATTTAAATAACTCTATTCTAAATTTATTTCTAATTGTAAGAAAAGAACAAGGACTTCAGTGGCTGCAATGTCCCACTCCTGATAAAACCGTTGTCGCAGTGACATTATCAGATGCAGAAAACAACAAGAGTGATGAAGAAGGATAAGAAGCAAACTCACTGACGTGGAAGCATGCCGCCATTCTTGCTTGCGCATCAAGGTATTATGCCGCCACTCTGCTTGCGCATCAAGAAATGCACGTGTCTAGCTATTTACTTTTATTTTCTTAGGGAGAACAGTCAAATTCGTCTTCACTCTGCTGATAAAAAATTATAGGAAAAGATTCGGTTTTTCAAGGACTCTGGATGAATTCTTTCTCAAAGTATTTTGTGGTTAATTCACTTATGTTTATAATCAAGACTGTTTATATATTTAAATTATTATGTAAAAGATTTAAATAAAAAAATTGAGATCATTTAATCATCAAATAGTTTTAACTGTAAACATAAAATTTCATAAATTGACAACGGCTCACAAGATATTTCGAAAATAATTGGCTCAATTCTAAAGAGACAAGCTTTTCTCAAAATAATATACTTCAAGAAAAAATGTCAAAATATATATGAAATCACAATGTAGGAAAAGCAATGCTAGTTTTTATTTGACAGGACTCCTGCCACTTGAATTTTAATTAGTTTTTATTTGCTTGTCATAGCAAAATGCTTATCTTTTCTTATGATCGTTCAATCATTAAATCTTGGAAACCATTAAATTATTAACTAGCAGGGAAATATTTGCCATCCGCTGTATGAGGTTGACTACTTTTTCTCTTTATGACTGATGTATTATTATCATACAAATTACACGACCACTGTTAAGGATAAAGAGACATCTTATATGAGATTATAAATAAATTACGATCATTTAAAAGTAATTATTAGTAAATTAACGGTTGATCACTATTCATTTTTAACTATTTCAATTAAGAAATTTGTACGTAAATCTAGCTGGTTGGACCTTTCCACTCAACCAAAGTTATAAAATCAAGCATCAGTTAGCATTCATAATACTAAATCTGAAACAGCTAGAAACCTCTCCGAGAATTCCCAAAGAGCAATATGGCACTTTGGATTTGGGCAACACTTGGGGTGCTTGCACTTGTTCACATCCTGCAAACATGCATATCAAAAGGCAAGACCAAGCACAAGATGCTACCTCCTGGTCCGAGAGGGTTTCCTATTTTTGGCAGCCTCCATTTGTTAGGAAAGTTCCCTAACAGGGATCTTCATCAACTATCCCGGAAATACGGTGATATCATGTACTTGCGGTTAGGCCTCGTACCCACAGTTGTTGTCTCGTCCCCACGAGCGGCCGAGCTGTTCCTCAAAACGCATGACCTCGTTTTTGCAAGTCGACCACCTCATGAAGGTTCAAAGCACATTTCGTTTGGGCAAAGGAACCTGAGCTTTGCTGAGTATGGCTCGTATTGGCGCGACATCCGAAAGATGTGCACGCTCGAATTACTTAGCAACCACAAAATCAATTCTTTCAAGTCGATGAGGAGAGAAGAAGTTGCTCTCCTAATTCAGTCTGTTGAGGAGGATGCCAATTATGGACGCGTTGCTATTGATCTCAGTGTCAAGGTATCATCGCTGAGCGTTGACATGACCTGCCGGATGGTGTTTGGGAAGAAGTACAAGGACGAGGAGTTTGACGAGAGGGGTTTCACCGCTGTGATGAAAGAGGGTCTCAAATTATCAGCGGGCCCTAACTTGGGAGATTACATTCCTTGTATTGCGCCGCTTGACCTCCAAGGGTTCACTAAAAAAATGAAAGCTATTAACAAGGCGTTTGATGAATTTTTTGAGAAGATTATTGATGAACATCTTCAATCCAAGGATGAAGAAAGAACTAAGGACTTTGTTGATGTCATGGTGGCCTTCATGGGGTCTGAAGATTCTGACTACCGAATCGAACGCACCAATATCAAAGCCATAATGTTGGTAAGTATACGTATATATCATTTTATGTATTTCTCTTTTTATTCCTGCTTGATATCATTACAACGAAATTGTTTCTTGTTAGACAAATTTAGCATGGTGTGGTCTAAGATTGTGATTCTGAACGACTGATTAGGTCAATTTTTGGTTGAATATACTAGATTGACTGTTGATGGTACAAATTTGTGCTTTATCATGTACAATAAATTGTCATCTACGTAGATAAGTCCCGCTAATATATATACTTCATCTATGAAAAATTTATTGGCAGGACATGTTTGCGGGTTCAATGGACACCACATCAACAACAGTCGAGTGGGCACTCTCGGAACTCATGAGACATCCACAGGTTATGAAGAAAGTCCAAAAAGAGCTAGAAAATGTTGTCGGCCTCAATAGAATGGTGGAGGAATCAGACTTGGAGAAATTGGAGTACTTGGACATGGTAGTCAAGGAAACCTTGAGGCTACATCCAGTGGCACCATTGTTGGTTCCTCATGCAGCCATTGAAGATTGCATTGTCGATGGCTACCATGTACCAAAAAAGTCACTCGTGATCATAAACGCATGGGCAATCGGGAGAGACCAGAGTGCTTGGGAAGATGCAGAGAAGTTCGTACCAGAGAGGTTTGAGGGTAATAATGTTGATGTTAGAGGAAACCACTTTCAGCTTATACCGTTCGGATCCGGCAGAAGGCGTTGCCCTGGAATTCAGTTAGGGCTTACTGTGGTACAATTTGTGTTGGCACAACTTGTGCATTGTTTTGATTGGGAACTTCCGGATAACATGTTGCCAAATGACTTGGATATGACTGAGGATTTTGGTCTTACAGTCTCAAGGGCCAAGCATTTGCTCGCTATTCCTTCATATCGCCTTCAGAATTAATGTGTTTGTAGTGTCTATTTTCCTACTTGTAATCTGTTGTGGACTATCTTTTCTGTTTTTCTACTGTCTTACACTTATTTTCTTCACTTGATGAGGAGAACGAGCAATGGAATAAATTAAGCAAATTGTTGTCAAAGTTTCAATAATGATAAGTCCCATGTCTATATAGTAAATCAAAGCAACTAGCATGTCCTTTTCTATAAAGAGTTATTTTGAAACATAGATAGGATCATAGGGAAGAATATGCAATATGCATGTCTTTACGGTTCTGTTAATACTAGTGGATATGTATATATACTTATCTTTTACAAATGATAAGATAATCTTCATTATACTATGGGAGGGGGATTCGAGCATGGGACCCCGGGTGCATGGGCTAATACTTTTAACCAACTGAGCTTCAAGCCACTTGCTTGTATATATCTACAAATAGGGTTTACCATGTTTCCCTGCTCTTAATAATTCTCTTCAGGATTGGTTTTGCCCTATTAATTAGCGCCTTTCAGCTATATGGTTTGAAATTGGGCAATTAAGCTCCCCTTGTCGACAATGGATGACAAACTTATTTGGTTGACTACTTCAGATGGTGTATTATCTTTGTCTTTGACTTAGGACTTTTAAGTGTAGTAAACAAGTAGTTGTTCCTTGAAATAAAGAGGTTTGGCGTAGATGTTTTTCGACCACGTAAATTTATTTTATTATGGCGTTTTCTTTATGAGAAGCTTTTAAATGATGATTTATTGCTTCATTGGGGGTTCTCTTTTGCGTCGATGTGCTCCTGGTGCTGTAAGGCTACTGAATCTACTCATCATTTATTTTAAGGGTGCTCATTTTCTCATTTTCTTTGGCAGTTTGGCACAAAGTTTTAGCCATATTCCAAGTTTCTACGTTATTCTCCGGTATCACATCCTTTTTTCCTATCTATTGATGTGTGGTTTTGGTACTCAACTTCAATTATTATGGTGGGTATGATTGGGGCAGGTTTTTACTCACTTTGGCAAGCTCAAAATTTAATCTGTTTTGAAAAAAATGCTTACAGTTGATTAGTTAGTTAGTGACATTCACACTTGCAAGTTTGTGAGGTGAATTTTTGGGGTATGAGCTTTATGTTAAACTCAGTTGATGAGCTTTGCGCTCCCATAGCGCTTGGACTGCATGAAAAGCCTTCAAGGGCGCGTAGAATTTATGAGTTTTTTTTGGCTTTCACCTTGTGATTTTCAAGTTAAAGTGAACACTCCTGGCATGGCTAGTTTTGGTGGTATTTTCCTGATCACTTGGATCATTGTCTTGGACGCTTTGCAAGATCTTTTAGCATTGCTACTACTTTGGAGGTGGAACTTAAAGCAATTATTCATATTGTTTATATGGCTTCAGAGAGGGGTTGACATTCTCTTTGGATTGAGTATGATTTTGTTTTGGCAGTGCATTTTCTTTCTAATGCATCTTCTCAGGTGCCTTGGCATTTATCAGGGATTGGGCAAATTGTTATCGCATTCTCTTTTCCATGCATATTCAGTTTTCTCACATTTATCGTCAAGAAAATCAGGTGACGAGTTGTTTAACAAACTTTGGTGTTTATCATGTTGGGGTTCATTGGTGAAATTCTTGTCCGTCATATACAGCTGCGACTTTTGCTCATAATCTTTTGAGGCTTCCAAATTTTTGTTTCTCTTAGGAGTTGTAATAATGGATTTATGGTTCTAATAGTTTTCTCCATCTTGTTAGGGTAAGGCTTCATGTCCCATTTAACTTATTGCTTCATTATTTTTTTTCTTTTTTAATTTATTCATAAAAAGGTCATTTTTGCGATAGAAGTGCTGAAATGGAAGTGACATTGTTGTTTTAATTAAAAAAAATGTAAGTGACTTGCAACTTAAATGATTAAAAGCATTTATTCATGTACTTTGGGTCTCAAATTTGATTCCTCCTTCCTCTATTGTTGGTTGTATTTAGCTAAAATAATAATTTTCTTAAAAAAATAGTACATGGTGAGAATGTAACTGATGATTGACATCAAAAAAGCGTTTGCACAACGTCATTTTCTGGATTATAGGGCTGAACTTGTCGACTAGCCTAGTTAATAGTTATGAATCCCCCTGATACCGTAGCTATGTTGTTGATTTTTGGGTTTTTATTACAAATGGTCATTGAAATTGACTCATCCCATCAAGATGGTCCCTTAAATTAAAAATCAATCAATATAATCCTTGAAAAGGGGTGCCCCAAATCAATTTGGTCATTCCATCACAATTCCATCAAAAAATCTGTTATGTGCTAATGTGGCACAAAACTGGGTCCCACAAGTTTAATTAAATATTATTATGTAAATTAAAAATATTTAAATATTAAATTATTTATTATTTTATTATAAATAAAAACTAATAAAAAATAAAAACAAAGAAGATTCATCTTCTTCTAATCCCCATCCCATGCCGTCGCATCAAGCTTGCACCACCATTCCCACTTCCAGAGCAAGCAAAAATAGAAAGAAAAAAAAAAGAAGGATGAATGTCAGAGATCTGAACCAAGCACCCCAACCCACCTCGCCGTTCATGCGACTCATTTCTCTCTCTCATCTATTCTCGCCGGAATCGAAACCCAAATATCACTACTATCGGACAAAATTAAACAAGTAATCAAGGTTGGGGTACGGGGCTTGCATCAAAGGGGAAGAGGGTGAGATCCGTGAGAGTGGGTTTGGAGCGACCGGGTTGGGGAATGGCCCATTAGGGAGGGGTAGTGATCTAATTAGGTTTCACAAAAGAAAAACTAGAGCTCTACTTTTCTTTCTTAGTAATTTCACAATAAAAAAATGAGAACTTTCATGAAAAGGGTTTGGGTTAAGTTTATTTTAACTAAAAACCATGCTATAACTTTATCTAATGAAAAAGAAATAATTATAATATTAAAAAAATTAAAAAAATTGACGTGCGGGATCCGCGCGTCGTCACACATACTGTTTATGAAATTTATTACACTGTTTATGAAACTTAGCGATACTACATTGTTGATGAAATTACTACACTATTATGAAACTTACTACATTGTTTATGAAACTTAACGGTACTACACTATTTATAAAACTTAACGGTACTGCACTGTTTATGAAATTTACTACACTGTTTATGAAACTTACTATATTGTTTATGAAACTTAACGGTAATAGATTGTTTATGAAACTTAACAGTACTACACTGTTTATGAAATTTAACGGTACTACATTGTTTATGAAACTTAACAGTACTATACTGTTTATGAAATTTAACTGTTCTACACTGTTTATGAAACTTTTGAAACTGTTTATGAAACTTAACGCGCGTTGGGCTCACATGTTTATATTTTATGTTTTTTTTTCTTTTTGTCCTTATTATTAAATAAAGTTATTAGATGGTTTTTGGTTAAAATGCAAAGTTTTTAAGCCCTTCATTAATTTTCCTTTAATGGGGCTATATTCTTCCTCTTAAATTAAAGAATTTTTCCATCAAAGATTGTGTTAGGATTTTAAAACTGAAGTTCCAACTGGATTGTTGTGAAAATTGGAAACAGGTAACGAGTTTTACAGAAAAAATCCCTCAACTTGATATGGTGGGTTCTGGGCAGCCGCAAAGGCTTCTTGCTTTGTTCTTCACGACATCCAACTTCTGTTTTCCTTTTTTTTCCACATCATAATATTTAATTAGACTTATAGGACCCATTTATGTGTCATATCAGCACATAACATAATTTTTGACAGAATTGTGACGAAAAGACCGCATTAATTTGCGACATCCATTTTCAGGGATTACATTGATCGAATTTGAATTTCAGGGACCATCTTGATGGGATGGGTCAATTTCAGGGACCATTTGTGATAAAAACCCTTAATTTTTTATATTCTAAGGTGGATGGGTAATTGCACTTGGAACTAGGTCTAGTTATAATACTTTTTACTTGTAAGTGAGAGATATTGTTGTATCAAAAACAAAAAGATGGATAGGTAATTTGTACTGAATCCAGCTAATTTGGGCTTTCGACGGCACGGGCTTCGTCCTCCTCGACCTTGTTGATTGCTTCATCGCCGATGACGATCTCATCAACTACTTCGCCTCTGTCGTCTGCTTCACGTTTTGGGATTTTACAGAAAAAACCCAAAAAAAACATCGAGTATGTTTTTGAAGTCTCTCTCTCTCTCTCTATCTCTCTCTCTCTCTCTCTCTCTCTTTGTATTATAATAAGGGAACTTTAACAAAAAGTTCCTGATACTGTTCACTTTAACGAAAAACCACATTTTTACACTAAAAAGTCAATCCTAGTACCATTCACTTTATCCTTTATTTTGTTCTTATCGTTAAAACTCAAAGTTTTCAAGCACTTTTCATTAGTATTCCTTTATAATTATTGTTTTAAAATTTGTTTTTTTATTTTACTTTTTACAAATTTATCTGTGAATATGGTGTAAGAATTTGTTAAATTGCTGCCTGGTGTTGTGGGTGTTTAGCAAAATGGGTATACTTTTTTCAAATGATTTGCTGTTTCTGCAATTTTTGTTGGGTAATCCTGGACTAAAAACTCAGATTGTTAAATAAATCTGCTAATTTTTTTTAAGGACCCTAAATCCTATAAATCATAAATCATAAAGTATGATAGAGTATAGAAATTGATGCATAGGATGATGACATTTGTAATTAGATTAGAAGATGTGTTAGTTAAGGCACTTAGCCTTGTTGTTGAAAGTGTATAAATATCTCAACTTCTGTATTTCATGGTCATTACAAAATCTATCAAGAACTTTCATTCTCTCTCTCTCCTTCTTCCCTTTAAGTTGTTATCTCTCTAGACTTTATGTATACAATTTCATAGATTTGATTACATTTACATGGTATCAATCGCCACTATTGCCTGCGCTTGATCTTCGATCCTTCTCCTCTGCTTCCGCTCGCCTCGACGGTGTCTTTGCACTCGTAAATTTGTCTTCGGTATCTCTAATTCTCTTCGTCTTCTTGAAATTCTGCTTTATTGGGTTTTCTCGGTTGATCGTCTTCTTGCGTTGATCATCTCTTCTGCTCTTTTGATTATTGCATACCAGCTATTTACTAAAAGTTCTCATTGAGTTTGTGCAATGTCAATGGTGACTGCAACGCAACTTCAACTTGTGCAATCCCCAATTACTGCCCTAATTCCACTAGTTC